CTTAATTTTTGTCGATCTGCTCGAGTGAGGGGGAGGGAGGGATCTCATGTGATATTTTTCCTCCCCTAAATCTTTTGACCCTTATGACCCTCGTGATACTTATTTTCTAAATCTGATTCTGAATTTAATTTCCAAATTATTTTATAAATCTGATTCGCAAATTTCATTTTTCAATTTTTTTTTCAATTTTCATATTTTTTCATTTTCAAAATCAAATTTATATTTGAATTTCAAAAACAAGAAGCTGGTAGTCCTGGTGCAAGCGATAGTGATTTACTTCTTTGTTGATCATGCTTTTTATAAATATTGTGAATCAACCGGGGATCGAACCAGAATCAGTCATGTGATGAGTAAGTATGCTACCGCTTACGCCAGGACACCAGCTTATTAGTTTCAGAAATATTTTGGTTTATATTGTGACCGTTCAATATTTAATTAATATTATTTCCTAAAAGGGGGATTTAGGGCAATTAAATAATGAGGACAAATGAGGGATAAAATTAACTCAATATCTATATTTCTAGTAATTTACAGATTAGATCGTCGTAAGACGTTTGAAATGCCTTTTTCTTGGATCTAGGGTTATGGGTAAGGCCAGGCAACTTTTGTACACGTAAAAAGGGGATGACTCTAATGCACATAAAGGGGGAGAAGCTAATCGTGTCAAGGGAATGCAACTAAATATCCAAATAATAACTGAATGGGGAAGAAACAAAAGAGTNGTTAATTTCTTGGGCTCGGGGGGGTTGTCTGGGGGATCAAATCTAGAGGAATAGGGCCGGTCTGAGGGTAACCAAGGGGTCAAGGGGGACATTTGATTCGTCAAGGGGGGAGGATTTGATTTTTGGGGAGCTGAGGGCTCCTTATGGGTCTCGAAGGGTTGGGGGCTGATGTGACTACTAGAACCTAAACTAATGGAAATTCTATCCACAAGTAATTTTAAATCATAATAATTATAGATCTCGGGGCAACTTATTACAGTCCTGCACTTTTTGCACTGACTGATTACTAAATATCTCTAACCTTCTGGGGTATCAATTCTTACAGCTACAATTACGGGGCACTGGGGTAAAAATGTACACTTAATACTGCCTACTTTACAAATCGGGTGCGTCAGGGCATTCCTAACTTTCTCTGAATATTTTAAGCCTTTCTTTCAGAANAAATCGGGTACGTCAGGGCATTCCTAACTTTCTCTGAATATTTTAAGCCTTTCTTTTAGATCCAGTTGGTCATGGTCCCGGGGGTAAAGAGGACATGGGGTGGTTTTCTGGGTTCTCCGGGTGAATTTTCTGGGGGTCTTGGGGTATCTTGGGGTCCTATGGGGAACTTAGGGGCTTACTGTCCATTCTAGGGGCAATTCGAGATGAATATTTTCGATTTAAATCTCGGACTGTCCCGGGGGTACAAGATACATGGGCTTGTCAGAAAGTTCTGTTGAACAATCATCATCATTCTACCTTATTTTGTGAAACCATAATTCTTCTTAATAATCTAACCTAATACGGGGCCTATTTTACTGGGTGAATTTTTCTTATTTCCTAGNTCCAGGGATGTCTCGCAAGGGATTATTGCTGGTGTTGAATATTTGGGGGCCTAGTATGGGGAATTTCTAGGAGGCGATGGCTTCGCCAATTGATCGGGTGGGGCTGGAACTGATGTCTTCCTTCGGCTGATGTCTTCGTGATGTCCA